GCAGTCACATCCCAGCCTGGATGTGCAGTCACATCCCTGCCTGGATGTACAGTCACATTCCAGCCTGGATGTACAGTCACATCCCTGCCTGGATGTACAGTCACATTCCAGCCTGGATGTGCAGTCACATCCCAGCCTGGATGTACAGTCACATCCCAGCCTGGATGTACAGTCACATCCCTGCCTGGATGTACAGTCACATCCCAGCCTGGATGTACAGTCACATCCCAGCCTGGCTGTGCAGTCACATCCCAGCCTGGATGTGCAGTCTCATTCCAGCCTGGATGTGCAGTTGTTTCCCTGCCTGGATGTACAGTCACATCCCAGCCTGGATGTACAGTCACATCCCAGCCTGGATGTACAGTCACATCCCAGCCTGGCTGTGCTGGGGAGCTCAGTGCAGTGGCAGGGGCTGTGTGGAGGGCCCAGGGCTGGCAGAGTGTGCCTGGAGGGAGCTGCCTCCCTGCACAGCACTGCCCCAGGGTCCTCTCCATGGAGCAGTCCAGCCTCTGTGGCCCCAGACAGACAGTGGCACAGCCCTCGTGGATCACAGGAATTCTGGTGGGCTGTTGTTTGGATAGCCCCACCAAGCCACGTGCCAACACAAAACAACATGCCTAATTAAACACTCAGCTTTGATTCCATCACAGCCCTGCTTTCACTGCCAGAGCCAGGCCCCACTTCTCCATGGGGTCCTTGATTTCTTCCAGCTCCAGAGCTGAGGTTCAGGGAATGCTGCAGTACAGAGCCCATAAGGGAGGACTGCACCGAGTCATTGGGGGCTGACAACATTTCAGATTCATTCTGATGGGATCCCAATAGCTTGTCCCCTATAAGTGGGATTTCCAAGATGGAGCTCTTACATAACTGGAGATGACTTTGTTGAGGGAAGTTTTGGTCCTCCCACTTTCCCAAGCTGTCCTTTCAGAAAGCATGCAATGTGTCCTTCAGCTGGAAGGACAGAACTGATTTTCTAGCAGGGATTCTGAAACCACAGCTTGTTTTGGACTGTCAAGAAACAGGGATATAAGCTCTGTCAAAGAATGCCCCTGAAAAGAGGTGATTTTAAGTGTGAATCCATGCTTTGCCCTTCTCCTCCTCTTCCTTCCCAGTCACAGGCAGCAGAGAGGCAGAAAGCACAAGCAGTTCTGGGGTGAAGGAGGTGTGATACTCTGGGACCCTGCCTGAGTCGTGTTACAACAGGACAAAAATCCCTGAGTGTTAATGATGAAAACCAGAGAAGCTCCAGTTACCACTCATGGACCAGCTGTTCTAGAATGTTCCTTCCCCACCTCTCCCTGGCAAGCTATAGAATTGCTGTAGGGCACTGCAACACTCTCCAGCACATTCCTGGAGTCAGTATTCCCTGGAACACAAGCACCTTGTGTTCCCTGGAACACAAGCATCCTGTTTGCAGTAGGATCTTCTCAGGGGAAGGTGTTTGTTCACACCCTTGCAGTTATTCCTGTGTGCTGCACAGCCAGTGTTGCCTGGTTTTCCCTTGTATGTGAATGCAAATGTATTCCAAGGAGGGGCCATGAGCTGGTACCTCCTGAGACCGACATTTGGGATTGGAGTTGTTTTACCTGCAGTTCAGACATTTACACTTGGAGTTCATAATCTGGGCTTACTTATGGGAATTCCTGAGCCATGGTGCATCTCCCCAGGTTAAACCGTGCCACAGACCAGGTGTGTCACCCTGGGGGTGTATCCTTCCAGAGACTCCAGTGAGACAGCCCAACCATCGTATAAGAAGCTCCATATCCATTCACCTGTCCCCTGAGCCATCCATTCCCTCAGGCTCTTTCTGTGCTTTTAATCTATTATAGGAAGAAAGGCACTTCCTCAGTCTGACAGGGCTTCACCCTGTCCCTGGCTGGAGTTCCCTGGGTTACAGGAGGGTTGGAGCTCTTTGAAAACACACAGAGGTGTGAGAGGAAAAGTCATTAGCACAGTAAAAACCCTGGTGACACAAAAGATCCATTCAGAGGTGCTTCTGCAAAGTGCTGTTCTGGCTTCATTAAAAGCACAGCCCCTGGCTCTCCCTCCCACAGCCTGGAATCACTTTGGGTTATCTAAATGAGAATGATCAGTTCTGCAAGGGGGAGAAAAAAGAGGAAACCAGGAGGAATTATTCTTTATGAATTATGTGCTCAGCTTTCATACTGACCTATTGAGTCAGCACTGAGAGCTGGATTTCCTAGAACAGCCTTTCATGCTGGATTTTGGATATGCTCTTCTTTTCAGCCCAGAAATACCTCTAGAATGGCCTTTCTCACACTGACTGGCATTGTGGGCTCCAGCTGCATCTTGGATGCAGCAGAAATAATGGAGTTTAGCAGCAGTTATCCAAATCATTCATCCTTCTGGTTTCCAGCATCCTTCTGTGGCTCCCTCCCAGCCTGGATTGAGCATGTTAACCCCGCTCCGAGCACGTGACCTCGTGGCACCCTGATTAGGTGGGGAGGTGTTAATATCTGGTGTGGAAACAGGCATCCAAATTGAACAGCCAGCTCCGACAGCACAGTGATGAGCCAATTCCAACTGGCAAACCGTGAATCCTTTCCTTGATAACAGTGATAACAAAAGTTTTCTGCCTTTTTAGCTCTTGAACTGACTCACTGTGGGAGGAGAGGGGGCTGATCCGTGGTACAGGCAAATGTGGCAGGTACCCAGTGCCATGGGTGGTGGGAGGGGCAGGACTGTTGCTGTTGGAGCAGCCAGGAGTTGTATGGATTTAGCCATACAGTCACACAGCACACCCGTGGCCTGTCCCAGACACCTCCTGACAGGCATTTCCCTCAGAGTCACCTTCCCCTCCGGAGGTGATTCCCAGGGGAGTCACCTCAATCCACCTGTGCCCAGGCTTGGGAGGAGCCCAGGCTCTGCTGTCTTACATACACCTGGGTCAGGGTCTGTGTCCCTTCTGGCCGCTGCCTGTGAGGAAGTTGTGTCTGCAGGTTTATTTACATCCCAAGAACTGACAGTTAATCCTGCCACATCCCCAAGGAAATGGTGAGACTGGACAGGTGTCACTGTGTGCTCTGCAGGGCTCATTGGAGGTCAGCTGTACAACACACGGGCTCACACTGTGGAGAGGTGTGGTGGCAGGGCAGGGACAGGACGTGTGACCAGGCAGGGCTGGAGCAGCCGAGGTGTGAGGGCAGAGCTGTGGAGGGGACAGGGCAGGTGACACGTGGGCCAGAGTGGAGGGGCTGTGGGAGGGCTGTTGGGGAGTCCAGAGAGAGCACAAGGGGCTACTTAAGCTCTGTGGGAAGCTTCAAGCAGGATTAGGACAGAGCTAAATGAAATAATCCCGTGAGGGAGCACTATCCTCAGGTCAGGGAGGAAAGGCAGGGATAGAGCTGGGACATGAGCCTCACCCGATTCACTGTAGTCTTCTTTGCTCCTCAATTCCTCTACTTTTTGTTCCCTTCCATTAAATCCGACTAGGACATGGTGTCACCTGCAGGCTGGGCTGCACAGCAGGCAGGCTATGTGTGCCTTCAGCCCAGGCAGGGCTCCTGAGCAGGCCTGGCCCTGGCTGCTGACAGCAGGGAGTCTCTGCTCCGTTCACACACCGCTGGCCGAGTGTTTCCCCCTCCTCTGCCAGAGACTGCAGGTCTGTGTGTGTGAGGAGCAGGGATTCACATTCCTCCAGGTGAGGTTCCAGAGCAGGACACATTGGCAGGGCTGGGCCGTGGCTGTTGGACCTCCATCCATCCCAGCACTGTCCAAACTGCCCTGGTGATACGGCAGCACATGGGGAGGATGCCAGATGTGTTCAGTGTCCGTGTTTTCGGGGGATGCACTGGAAGCCAGCACACTGTGTGGTCCTTACATATCCAAACCACTGCCAGGCTGAATCGCAGCATTATTCAATATCCTGAGTTGGAAGGGACCCACAAGGATCATCAGATCCAGCTCCTGGCCCTGCACAGACACCCCAACAATCCCACCCTGTCCCTGAGAGCATTGTCCAAACGCTCCTTGAGCTCTGGCAGCCTTGGGGCTGTGCCCACTGCCCTGGGGAGCCTGTTCAGTGCCCAACCACTCTCTGGGGGAAAGACCTTTTCCCAGTATCAGGAAAGTCGCCTCTCTCCGTGAACTGTGTCAATGGCAGAAGAGGCTGAGCCACACAGGGCCAGCAATCCCTCTGCAGAGCCCACCTCAGGTAGGGAAAACTAAACCTGGATGGATACAGAGCTCAGGGTAGGAGCCACCACACGCCCTGTGTGTCTGTCATCACAAAGCTGGGCATTAAAGAGCCAAGCAGCCCAAAGTCTCCACAACACTCTACTGTAGGGAAAACAGTGTCCCTCATGTCCCTATCCCCACATGCAGCGTGGGGATAGGGACCCTCGAGACCCGACTGCAGAGCTGTGTACAGGTTTCTGGGCTTCCTTGCTAAGAACTCCTGTACAGCTCTGCCATGCTTCTCTGTTCCTTGCCTACCCTTGCTGGGATACAGCAGAATACAAGAAATACAAGAAAATAGATGAATCAGATCCTCTTCTAGAAGTCTCTGCTGAGTTTGAAGCTGTTCTTTCTTGCATTTGATATGTGCAGAGACTGCAGCTGACATCCAGTACAAAGACAGCTGCCACCATGGGTCACTGTGTAACATATATTCAGCAAGAACAGAAATCAAAGAAGGGCACTGCAGTTAAAAGATGTAATGATAGAGTTTATTTCCGAGGAGTGGCTAATGTTCCAGAAATATTTGCAACCAGCTTATTTTATAAAATGAGTTATGGAGCTTTTAATGTTAAATTAGAAGGCAAAAACACAGGGCAAGAGAGGTGAATGATTATGATTTTGTATTTTGGTTTTTAATCTGTTTTTCAGCTGGTTCTGCTTGCATACTGTGCCTGACCTGAGCTGATGCAGCCTTTTCTGTCACTTTAGCAAGTTCTTGACCCTGATACTGCGTCTAATTATGTTGGGTTGGTTGTTTTTGGGGAGCTGCCATCTAATCTGCTCCCTGTCGGCCCCTGCAGATCTTCCACATGACCTACGATCTGGCCAGTGCCGTGGTGAGGATCGTGAACCTCATTGGGATGATGCTGCTGCTGTGCCACTGGGACGGCTGCCTCCAGTTCCTGGTGCCGATGCTGCAGGACTTCCCCGACGACTGCTGGGTGTCCCTGAACCGCATGGTGGTGAGTGCCAGCCCTGCCGGGCCCTCGGTCACCCTACCCAGCGCCCACATGCCATCCGCCAGCTTCCCAGTGCTCCCCAGTATCCAGCGCTGCGGGCACGGAGGCGCCTGGGAGGCAGATCCTGCAGGGAGAGGTCCCGGGGCTGCGGAGCAGGACCCGGCCCGGCAGAGCTGCTGCGGGTCCTGCTGTGGAAGGCAGGAGCCAGGCTCCCCCTCCTGGCTCCAAACAGCAAGGAGCAAGGGTGGAAACGGTTTTCTAATGGCTTCTGGGCATCCTGAGCCAAAGGAGGAGACAGAGGGGGTCCTGGAACCGTAGCTGGGTCTGATCCATCATTCACATCACCGGTCCCAAAAAACTGTGAAGCCCTCTGCTCCATATCCTCTTGAAGGGCCGGTGTGATCACCCTCCCTTCCCTCCATGGAGCTGCACAACGTCCCATTAGGGTGGGCTCAAACAGACCCTGCCGGGCCACAGTTGGGCCTCCCATCATGGGATCAGGAGCCAGACTTCCCAATGCCATCCCAGGCTGTGCTGCTCCTCTGCTGTTTGCTGTGAGGGAGTTTGATACCATATGGTAAATGCACGGGGAGTTCATGGTACCTTTCAACCATCTTGCTGAGAATTCAGGATCTTTTATTCAAAGGGACAATGTCCAGTTGATTAAACAGCAAAAACTGACAAAGCTTAAAAAATTGCCTCTCATTGCAGCTCTTAACCTCCAGATTCCCCCAGCCAATTTCTTCTTAAAAAAAAAGGAAATAATCAGGCACTCGGGCAGAACAGAACAAATGTAAAATGTATAAGAGCTGTGCCAGCTCGCCATGCCTCCCACATGCAGAGCTGTGGGCACTTGCTGCCTGTGCCTGAGAGGAGTGAGCATCCATGAAAAAGTCGTCTGTTTGGGGTTTATTTATTCATTTCTTCCCTCTGCAATAATCGTTCACTTCCTGCTGCTGAAAGGTGCCAGACTGACAGTTCTGGAGTCTGGAACCCTCTGTTTATCTCCAGCAGAAGAACAACCCATGCAGCAGCTGCCTGGTCTTCCCCCATGCTGCCTTTTTATTATTTATATGGCAGGAGCAATCAAAGATCAGGGCCCCCTTGTGCTGTTCAGGTTCAAGAGGACACTCAGCTCCTCACCCTGGGGAGCTCAGAGGTGCAGGCTGAACCCATCCCCATCCCATGAGGAGACTTGACTGTGGTGCCCTTGCAGGACAGGTTCAGAACAGCACATCTGAACCATGTTTCCCTTATCCCAACATCCGGCTGCTGGTTGATGGCAGCAACTTCTCTTTGCTCTTCCCATCCATCCCTCAGGGAAGAGGTAAGAGCTGGGGTTGCAGCTGCCCTCGGGGTAACTGTAGGCAAGGGCAAAGGTCTTGAAAAGTGGCAGAAGACAGAACAGAGGAAGAAGAGATTTAGCCAAGGCACCTTTCTGACAGCAACAGTGGGGAGAGTGGGAAAGATGCCTTCCAGAGGCAGGAAGGCTCAGCAGAATCTCCAGGAGGGGCAGGGTACCATGCTTCTATCTGGAGCAGAGCTTCACTCATGCTGCAGTCTTGTCTTCCCAGCCTTGAGAGCCTGTAAAGCTGGGAATTAAACTGGCCTTGTGTGATTTTTCTTCTTCTTTGCAGCTAAATCACCTTCTTTTTTTTTTTTTCCACTTAATAGAAGTGGAAAAAGAATTATTATCTCTGAAAATGGAGCCTCAGGAGACTGGGATTGAGAACTGGAGAGATGGTTATATGCCCCACCTATAGTTCAGGTGGCTTCCACTTCAGGAATATGCCAGCCCCAGAATAGCTTGAGATGGGAATATTTAACAAAGACAGTAATTAGTTCTTCTGGAATCAGATAGGTGTTTTTTTTTTCTTACAATAATGTTCTTTAATCTCCTGAGACAATTTCCAGATGTGTCTTTGGGACCAGTGATGGATGTGGATGGCATTTACATATGGTCTGAAGTGAAGTAATAGCAGAGGCCACTGAGTCAGGAGCAACAAGAAACTGGAGGTCTGGGCTCTTCTCAGGCTTTGGTGCCAGGATGTTGATGGAAGTTTCCAGAATGGCTCTGTTTGAGTGCTGTGATGGACAGGGTTGGGAGGGGAGAAGCCTGGATGGCATCAGTCTGTGACAGTAGGTTGGATTCTGGGACATTCTGTACTGACCTGGTCATAGCTTTGAGGAGATAAATACACTTGGTGCACGACTGCCCTGATTACACACAGGAGCCACAAAGCTGGGATGGAACCACTGTAGAAAAAGAGAAATCTTCTGAAGCTGCTGCAGGCAAGGGGAGCTGGAAGTGAAGTGCCAAAAGCTTCAGAGGCTTTCTCCTTGAGTGTGCTGGCGCTGCTTTTCCACTGCTCCGGGGTTTCCCATTGGCAGTCCATAAAACCAGCTCTGATTTCGATGCAGCAGAGAAAGGAGATTCATCACCTCCCATCTGCTTCCTAAAGATTTGATCCTCATCCAGGGGATTTGTGAAGGGTCCTGTGTTGCCAAAATCATATCAGGGGCTCGATAAATCCCTAAGTCCACTTCATCTTGGTGTTTTATACATGCACCATGTTCCATCTTTAGCAATTGTGAAGGAGCTGGTCTCTGGATGACTCCTGAAATGGCAGGGAAAGATGTTTTCAGTATTAATTGCTCAGCCCCAGTCCCAGGGGCTTCAGCATTAGCTTCCCTGCAGTGCACTTTATTAAAAACTGGAAGCACTGGTGAGTCAGCTGCTGCTGCTCCCCGAGACCCTGGCCTGGCAGCTCCGTCCCAGGAACCCGAGCTCTGCTGAGACCTGAAGGCTGCTGGAAACACGTGGCTCATTCCCTGGGGTGTTGTGCTGAACTGATAAACCCTGCAGGGAAGGCAAATATCCCTGTGGCAAACTCAGCAACCTTGCACAGGAAACACTGATCCTCCTTCCTTCCCCCAAAGGGAGGGGAGCAGATTCACTTTGAGCTTATCCCCCCTCCCTGCTCACAGCACTTTCTTGGGGTGTTGCTGATAGAAAGCAGGAAGAGAGAGGGATGCAGCACGTGTTGTGGGAAGACAGAGCAGTCCTGCATGGCTGTGCTGTGTGATTCCTAACTCCCCCAAGCCTCTGGGCCAGCAGGTCCCTCCTGCCCTGCCTCAGCAGACACTTGAATCTGAGTAGCAGATTATCATGTTCTATAAAATCTGTTAGGGAGCAACAAGAACAGGGCTGCTCCACGATGGGATGTGAGCCAGGAGCCAAGGGCAACAGGCACAGGCAGTGCCCTCACCAGCCAGGGCACAGTCCTGCCAGTCCAAAATCGGGTGGGCAGAGCAGAACTAGTGATAACTGGGGCTATTGACCGTTCCAGGGAAGGCAGGGTGACAGTCACATCCAGGGTCTACCCAGGGAGTCCAGCTGGGAGCAGCATGAGGTGGGAGCAGAGGCAAGGCTGGAAACAAGGGCACAGCACGTGCTCAGTGCCCAGGACATGGGTACAGTGAGCTCAGGCAAGGGGTGGGTGCCAGGCCTGGAGCAGAGTGTGCTTGGGGGGGTCCCAGGCAGGGCTGACTGGGGCAACTGGGACTGGTGCCCTCAGAGTCCTGGGAAACTCCCTACTGTCAGGTGGAGGCCACACGGAGCTCTCCTTGGAAACAAGCCCAGAACAGGCGGTTCTGTCCTAGGTGGTTTGATCTATCACCTCCATTTCTTCCCCCCAGGTGTGTTTTCCGGCCCAGCAGTTCCAGCGCTGTCCAGGGGAGGGCAGGGGTGGTCAGAGCCCTTATTTCACAACTGGGTCTGAGGGCAGTGCAGTAGCAAACCCCGAGTAACAGCTCAGTGGCCAGATAAGATCACTGCTGAGACACGTGGGAGCTCGCAAGGCTGAAATATGGCCTGTCACCACTACAGCTCCTTAGTTCTCTGAAAAGTTAATGGTGTAAGTCAGGCATCCCATTTGTGCCTGTAGACTGTGCCCCAGCCCAAGAAGTTCCAGTGCTTCTCTGTGTCTCTTCTTCTCTCACTAATCTTCTCCAGTGAGGATTCAGCCAGACACACTCAGTGCACATCAGAACCAGAACACCCTGTAAGACACCATACTTTTCCTCGAGCTGTTTCTATACTACAGACACTACAGAACCCAGCACTGCCTTTGAAGAGTTCCAGGAACGTTGTCTCCAAGTATTTAAAGGTGGATCTGAGCAGAGGCATTGCAGTCCAGGCTCTAATCCCAGAGAAACCCTTCTAGCACTGCCACTGTTGATGTTAAAAGCGAACTAGTCTGAGAAAATTCTTCCAAGTAATTTTAACTCCCTTTTGCAAATGCTCTCCGTGCCTGGCATATGTTTGGGATAACATCCCTCTTGACTCTGTTCAAGCACAGATCTGTAGCTCCATTTTTGCTTGCTTTGGGATTTGGTTAACAAGGAGTCATTTTTTTCCCTGCAGTTTAAAGCCTCATTTACCTCCCCTCATGGGCCATTTTAGCCACTCCAGTATATTTGAAGTGGTACAGCCCTCCCACCATGGGGACTGGTGGAGTGGGGTATTATATAGGGGTGTGGCTCTTATGGAAACAGGCTGTGCCAGGAGGAGGCACCTGGTGCTGGTAAACCTGTGTCTACAGTATGTTTGGAACCACCACTACTAGCCTGGCCTAAACTACTGCATTGTTCACCTCCCTGCTCCTCCTATGGAGAACAAAAGGCCTTAAATCTAAAGTTATACTAAACCTATAGGCAAGGAATTGTCACATAGGCAGTGCCATGAGTGAGAATCCAGTGCTTTTTACAGATTGTATCCTAAAGGTCATTGCTCTGAAAGGTTTCCCCTTCACAGAAGTGCCTCTCTTTGAGCAGTCCTTGGTCTCCTCTCCCAGCAGACCACGCTGCTCAGGATTTGTTTGAAGCACTCCGTGTTTTCCTGCAGCTCTGGCCCCTCAACCTGTCTTTACTCATCCGTCTCCTCAGTCTGTCCTCCCATGAGTGCTGCTCATGGGAATTGAGGTTGGGACTTGTGACTTCCCAGGGAGCCAGAAGTGTTTCTGCAGGCTACAAGGGCTCAGTATGTTGGATGTTAGAGTTTGGGATGACTAATTCCTACAAAACACTGGCAAACTTCCTTGTAAACAGCACTCCTGAACAGCAAGTTGCTGGAAGAATGGCTTTTAAAACTTGAGCCTGCCTGGTGCCCAGATGTTCACAGCCATTAGAGACCCTGGCAGCCAGTTTTCTAATACATCACATTCTAGCTCAGCTGTTCTTATTCTGTGTGCCCAAATTCCCGTTGGAATTTCACCTCGGCATTTCTTTCCTCCCTGCTCTCAATTCTGTTGTGGAGGTGTGCTGCCCTGTTAAACTACTGCCACACTGAACTCAGAAAGCAGCAGCATTTCTGCAACATCCAGTGAGAAATGGGAAGGGAATTCATTTAACAAGGAAGGAATGGGACAGGACACCTGCCCTGCCCTCTCTGCCCCAGTAAAGCAGAACACGTGCTTCCCACTTTTACAGCCGATGCACCATTTTAAGCAAAAGTCGTCTCAGGATTCCAACTTCTCTGCTGAAGTGAGGACAGTGGATGGGCTAAAGCCATGGATTTACAGCCATTCTGTAAGTGCAGGGGCTTTAGCTGCCAGTACTCCAAGGCTGAGGGAAAGGACCTGTGTCTCATGGAAATGTTAGCACTGAGGCTGCAGGAATGCCTGTGTGAGCTGCTCAGTGCCTTCACGGATCAGAAGTGAGTCTCCAAAATGACAGAAAACACGGAGGGTGAAAAAAAATGCCTCCCCCCTTTCCCAACTTCTTTGGCTAGGACTCTTGGAGCCACAGCCTAGGCATGAAGGAGCAAGAGGATTCACTCCTTTGGCCCTTACACCTGAGGAAGCACCATGGCCAGACCCTTCCTGCTGCCCTGGACAGAGCCACAGGTGCCCTTTGCCCTCCCCTGTTCCTGGCTCCCCTTTGGGCTGCAGCTCCTCACACACACGAGCAACTGCACAGCCAGGAGCAGTCACCAATGGCCACATTGTCTCTTGCCCCCTCTCTCTTGGCTCGAGGGTAGTTTTTCCAGGGGAGCAGGTTCCTGCTTTGTTAGGAGGTGAGCCCAGACAGGCTGGCGCCAGCAGGGAGCAGGTTGCAATCTCTGCTGGGCTGTGAATGTGCTGCTTCTCCTGTGTCTGCTCTGCTGGCACTGGTGTGGCTTTGCCCTTCTTGTTGCAGAGTGAATCAGGCCTCTCTTGCATAATGTAACTGAATCTGGCCCGGTAACACTAACCCTGTCTTTGTCCACGTGCTTATCTCCTAACCAGGCATCAGCTCCCTCCAGAGGTCCCAGCTCTATGCCACAGCTCCCATCAGCAGGGCTGTGCTTTGGCACTGTTTGCTACCTGTAAGATGACTGAAAAATTTCCATCTGCATCAGTGGCTCTCAGAGCTTTTTGCAGGGATCTTCCCCACCCACCTCACCGTGCTTGCACACCTCCAAGAGGTGCCCAGTAAATCCAGGGGATCCCAGCTCTGCTGGGCGCTGGTGCTGAGGCTGATGAGTGGAGGTCACACAAGTGTTCCTTGGCTGTTCGACCAGCCACCGCCAGGCTTTCTGTGCAGTGACCTTCCCAGTTGCTGTGTACATGTGCTTGCACAGCTACATCCATAACGTTCACACCTTCCTAGGAGCAGAGAGAAGGCTGAGGAGTGCTCAGGTCGCGTGCTGCGATGAGGGTCACGTAGCACAGGCATTTTTCACATGCCTTGGAAGAGCAATGTGCGATGACAGTGCATTTACTTTACAAGGTTTTATGGCAAGGACTTGCTAGCAGATAGTACCCACAGGACAGCAAATGTACCTTGAGCTGTTCCATGAACTCAAGCTAATCAGAATAATCATGAATCTTATGCTGGTTTTTCTCCCTGTGCCATGATGTAATTGCTGAGGTGCTGCTTGTGTGAGTTGCAGTGGCAGAGCACAAGGTGTCCTGGAGGAGCCTCTGCCTTCCACTGGCCTCTCCTGGCAGGTTATTGCTGCTCTCAAATGAGACCATTTGTAGTTGTCTCAGCTCCCTGAAAAAAAGCCCCGTTTTACACTGAGAAGAACTTGCTGTCCGCACATTATCAACTTCATTTTCTGCCCTTCCCACCTCCTCAGGTAATGACCACAGATCCTGACCATTTCCTAAATTGCTGGGGAGTGATTTTCCCCACTCTAAGATCTTGCTGCCAGTAACCTTGCTCAGGCAAGGTTTTACCAGTCTTTTACCAGTTCTGCTTTAAAGTCCATTTCCCACTGGAGTAATCACTCCCTTCAGTTCCTTCTCCCACATGTGGGCCATTGTGAAAATATCCCAGTGCATCATCTCAGTTTATCCCAGGTTAGCAGCGTGTCAGACAGTCTGGCTTCCTTGCTGGAAAGAGTACATGGAATCGGGAAGAACTGTGGCCAAAGTAGGTAATGTCAGATGACTAAATCCGTGCTTATTTTTCCAAGTGGAGCGTGCCCAGCTGCTCCAAGCCGCCGCAGAATTAAACCGCCTGTTTAACATATGGAGGTGCTTTAAACATGGATTTTGGGGTGTAACATTGGGTGTGCTTTTCCGAGCCGTGTCCGTGTGCGGCACGCCGTGTCCCGGTGCTGAAGCTGTGCCTGTGTGTCTCCGCAGAACGACTCCTGGGGGAAGCAGTATTCCTACGCCCTGTTCAAGGCCATGAGCCACATGCTGTGCATCGGCTACGGGCAGCAGGCGCCCGTGGGCATGTCGGACGTGTGGCTCACCATGCTCAGCATGATCGTGGGGGCCACCTGCTACGCCATGTTCATCGGCCACGCCACCGCCCTCATCCAGTCCCTGGACTCCTCCCGCCGCCAGTACCAGGAGAAGGTAAGGACTGGGCTTGGCAGCCCTCCTGCGGCCCCACGGGGCTTTCTGTGCTCTCAGTGACCCCGAGGTGCGGTTCCCTGGTAATTCATCCCCATCCATTCACTCCAGCAGACCCTCTGGAAGAAACAGATGCAAGATCAGATGAATAATAGTAATGCAAGTGGGTGGTTTTTGTTGTCTCTGCTGGTCTTTTTAGATCGACGTTATCAATGTCACTGCTATCTGAAATCCTAAGTCGCTTTTTCCTTTCCGAGATCTTGTTTCAAACCCCAAGTGAATGTTCCAGAATGTGCAGCTTTTGTTTAGCAAGTACTCTGTTAAAAGTATCCAGATTATTCACTTCAGTGCTCATGAGTGAAGGTACAGAACAAACCCCAAAGCCCAGATCAAAGCTGGGAGCTCGGAGCAGGTTCCCCGGGTAGCTGTGGAATTAATTGCACCGTTGTTGAACAGCACAATGGAGGGCACAGCCAGAAATGTCACAGCTGATCAGGGTCCCACTGCCGCAGCAGCCATGGATGGTGCTGGGTTTAAGGTGATGCTGTAAATCTGTGAGATGGTCAGGGCATCCAAAAAAAAAAGCACCTTCCCTCAGTTAGTGGGGCTGGGGAAGCCATAGGTGAGGAGCTGTTACAGTCAGGGTCCTAGGGATACATTCAATCTGGAGACTAAGAGGAACTGGTCCTATTCTGTCTGACCTTGCCAGGTGCAGTCAGAGTAGGTGAAAGGGGAGCTGTGATTCAAGTGAGGAGATTATGGTAAGCATGCACAGTCCAGGTGAATTTTATGTTGAGGGAGGAGGTGGGATGGCCTAGGAACAAGTTTCAGACATGGAGATTACAGTGCTGGGCCATGGAAAGAGAGCAGGGGAGAGAGGGAGAGCAAAGACGGTCAGAGGCTGACTCATGCTTTGAGGATAGGGAAGATCCCAAACCACAGCTGGAGCCGAAAGAGAGAGAAAGCCCAGGAGAAGAACATAGAGGACCGGGATGCATCCAGAGCACTGGGCTTTGTGTAGAGTTTTAGCTCTGTGTTACAGCTCAGACTAATTCTAATGGACAGCAAGGCATGCCAAAGAGAAGGACACTGCAGCACCAGGAACGCAAGCTGATCAAATCTCTGGATGCAGAGTATTTATTCAAATGTGTTTGAAGTAGCATAGAAGTCAAGGACTGATTTGCAAATCCAACCACCTGGCCAGCCTAGAGCAGCCAAGGTTACACCTGCAGCACTGGGCACTACGGGCTTTGTCTCAAGCCAGGCCTGAAGACAAGGGCAGACACTGACCCTGGAAGTTGGATTCCAATCAGTGCTGAGGGAAACCAGTCACCAGGAAGCCAGCAGGGACTGCAGTGGGGGTGGCAGGAGCAGTGTGAAATGTTAGAGCCTTATTAGAATGTGGAGACGTGAATGACAGTGTTAATGGATACAGGGGAAGAGCTTTGTGACAAAAGCAGCAGATAGAAGATTTCACAAAGGGTGTATTTCATGTGTAGTGGTTTTAGCAGGTTCATTTCCCAAGTTTTTCTCCGGGGATCGAAGCCTCAGGGATTGAATACGTTAATTTTCCTCTTGCAAATGGGACAAATGATGGCCTAAAAACAAATATGTATTTACTTTCTGAATTCCTTAGCACTTGAATAGCCATGATTAAAATGAGGCTGCTCCGTGATTTGCAGCCCTGAAACTCAATTTAGTTCAGTCCTCATGGGACAAAGTGTCTGGTGAAGCATATTATAGAGAGAATCTCAACAAGTTTGGAGGTCGACTGGTAGAAGCAGCAATTGAGAGACCTCTGCTGAGGGCACCTGTGGGCTCTGCCTCTCTCCTCAGCACAGCTCAGCCTACAGGGACTTTGGGAGCTGTTCTGGGAATAGCCAGAAAAAGAGGAGGCAGTGGGGAGGGAGGGGAACAGCAGGAACATCAAACAGGAGAGGAGGTTGTAGCTGGTAACTGTCCTGAGAGGCTTTGCTTGGTGTAACCCTCGGGACAAGGTTCAGGAGCGGGTTTTTGGTGAGGTTTCAGGTTGTCTAGACCTCTGCCAAACCAACTTGTTCTTCCCTTGTACAAACAGGGCTTTTGAGAAGAGGAATAAAAGCCGAGCCATGCTGTCTGTTGGCTTCAGGAGTAGGGCTTGCCTCCCTCTGCCTTGGATTCACTGAACATTTGGACATTCAATCCCTGTCCTGTCTAAATCCGGTCCTGTAGCATCTCATTTCATGCTGTGCTGGTTTCTGCAAGGCAGGGAAGCTGGATGGGATGGATGGGGTGGTAGGAACCATGGAGAATTTGGAGAGGGATATTGCCCCCTCCAGGCCAGTGCAGTGTTGAGGTTCCTGAGTGCAAGTGGGGAGTCCCCTGTGGCACAGAGCAGTCACGCCACCGTGGGCACTGCAAGGGGCACAGCCACCGTGCAGGTCTGGCCCTGGCCTCCCTTGAAAAGCTCTGGCTCAGAACAGCTCTCTAGATCTGGCACTCTGATGTGACTGTTTGATTTCCAGTCCCAGAGGCAAAGGTAAAAGGGACCTGTCTGTCACATCTTGCATTGCATAGTTATTATGGTCACAGAGAGTCAGTGGCAGGATCAGCAGCTGACTCTTATCTCTTAACCTCAGCCTAGTGTTACATCTTTGCAATATCTTTGCATCCAAGACTGGTGTCTGTTTGCTGCATGAGACAATGCCCCTACAGGTCTATCCTGAAGGATTCTGATAGAAACATTTCCCAAAGTCATGTTGTGCAATTCCATGTTATAGCTGAGTCAACTTGACAGCTTTGACCTAGGGGGGGAAGCCCCACATACTTGATCTCACCCAGTGCTCCCTGCCACTGTTCTCAGCTGTGCTTTTCTTACTTCATACTGCTCAGACCTTCACTCACATCTAAGCTCATCACTGACTGCAGAAGTACCCCACAGCCTGCAGTAACTGTGGCTCACGTGAGAGGAAGAGTGTTTCCTGCCCAGGAGAGGAATAAACTAGATGGATATGCAAGTTATTTTCGTGCTTTTTGCAGGTTCTCCTATTAATTTCTTTCCCTAATCCTAGAGCTCAGCTGGATTAGTATTTCTGTCAAGTCACCACACGCACACACACACACTCTCATCCTCCCCAGCAGACTCGGTAACCTTGAGGCTTTGGGGAGGGTGACTGTGCTGTTTTCTGCAGCCACGCTCCTTGGAACAGAGCAGAGACACTCCAGGCTCCTCTCCCCCATCCCAGCAGGATGTAGGCAGTGATGGGCATTGTGCTGGGCTTGGCTCTCTGTGTCATCTCCCCAGGTGCACACAGAGGAGTGACTGAGGAGAGGTGGGAATTGCTGCTGTCAGCGTTGCAGAGCCCAGCAAAGCTGTAATCTCTCCTTCCAGAGCCTCATCTCTCCTCAGGATCCGTGCTACACTGGCACTCTCTCCAGCTCTCTGCTCTCCACATTCATTGCCCCCCTCCTCCTCCTCCCTTAGCAGTCTATCCAGGGCCTCTTGTTCTTAAAATATATCTGGGCAGGTCCTTGCATATTCACTTGTCATTATTCTGAAGAAGCACGTGCTGCAGCACAGTTGCAAGGGGACAAGCAGGTAACGCTGAAGAGAGAGTCACTTTATAAACCCTGCAGAGCACTGGTGACATCACCTCTCAGTTCCTGACACAGCCCTGCCCAACCATCAGCACAGCCTTTCTTCCCACAGTTCATCCCATGGTCTGGCTGTCCAAGCACTTTATTGTGTAACTATCAGCATTTAAGCCTGACTTCAACAAAGAGTAATTGGGGAAAATTTAGTCATTTTAAAGGCTGAAGTATAACAACTGGAATGTTCCATCTCTGTTAGAGATGTTGGACCAGTATTTGTTGGAGGGGAATTCAGACACTGCGCTTGTGCCTGCAATGAGAGCTGAGAATCTGTCTAGGCTCAGGTCCCTGCTCTTTCTTGGAGACCAGCAGCAGAGAGTCTTATTGGGCAGCAGGTTTAAGGAGTTATTTGGGCTATTTTATGGTCTGTAATGAAACTGGAACTCACAGCTGCGAGGTGCTGTGGAGGTCCGAGGTTTGATTAGCCTCAGAATATTTAGACAAATTCACGTGAGGAAAACCTTTCAAGTGCTGCTGATTGCTGAGGTGCAGATCCAGCCCCTGGCAGTGGGCATCCCTAATGTGCTTTTGTCAGAAAATTCAGGAAGGTGTAGGTGGGAGCTGGAGTGCTCTGTGCCTGTGTTGCTCCTTCTCCTCTTCCTCTTCCTCACTGAATCTGTGTGTCTGGACACACAGCACCAGGTAAAAGGAGCCCCCGGGCTGCCCCTTCACAGCTGCCTTGGTTCTTTAGGCTGGTTTACTGTGCAGTTTGGTGTTCTGAGCTGCCTCCAATGGTGTGTGCAGGCAATTGGGTGCAGAGATCTGAGCTGGGGTCCTGGATGCAGGATAATCACATTAGCCTGGCAACTTGCCCTTGCTGATTAGTCTCCCCCTCCACTCCCCCTCAAGCCAAGCTAATTAACCCGAGCACAGCCCTGTACTGGAGCTGCATTAATTCTCCTGGCTCCAGGGCTGGCTTAGCCAGGGCTGCCTGGGGGACAGCAGGGCACAGATACACTGAGGTAACTCGTGTCAGCTGCTCTGAGCCCGGAGTTGGGAACAGACTGCCGGAATTCCCACACCTGCTCTGCCACAAAGCTGGCGGGGGGAAAACGTCATTACCAGTCTGGGCAGGATTTGAAGTGACATTCCCAAGTGCCTGTAGGTTCTCAGGTGGCATTCCCACATTCCTAGAGTTCAAAGGGGTTCTGTAGAAGTCCCCTTCCGAGGTAACATCCGTTCCAATGCCAGGAAAGCTGCAAAGCTCCTGTACTCCTTTGGTAATGTGTGTGAGGGAGAGGGTACAGAGTGTGCAGCACTTCAGAAATTAAAGGTGTTTGGAAAACTTAATCAAATGCAGAATGTAATCAGATTTCCTAATTGGAAAAAGTTTGGAGAGCTTTGCTTCAACTGCACTGGTTGTGTGTTACCTC